GTGGAAGCTTACTTATACATCCATAACAAAAGCAAGCAAAATGTTTAATTATGAATATTCTTTGCCGACCAGTTTTCTTAGGAGGAGACGCTGATTGCAATTCAAAACATAATTAGATAGAATGATAGAACGAAGTGGCTAGAATCTTATCACCATAACTGTAGTTTATGTGGAGATGCTTGTGAATAATGTCTATAGGACTATAGACCTATTTTTGTAGGTTGTCATAGACTTTAATTTTTATAACATAAATACTCAAGGAAATAATCATTCCACTTTATTGGAGTTGAATCTTGAAGCATTTTTAAACATTTTTTTATTTGAAACTTAACTACTCATCAAACATTACTAGTGCATACTGGTCTACCAATTACCAAGCAACCCACATCATCTACGAAGCAAGAATTTATTAGCCGAACAAAAAAAAAAAAGACTAATCATAGTTTCGATTTTCAAACGCGGAAGGACATCGTTTCATGTGAATCCCCGTTTGTCCCACACGCGCTTCCTTGTATTGCACATCAAAACGATCAAAGTCAAAACGTTATAACAATTTTATTATCGACATAACCGGATCAACTGAAGTCAAACCTATATATATATATATCCCTTTATTCATCGACCACCCATCCATTTCTCTTAATTCATTACATTCATTTTTTCCCTCTATCTGTTTCTTTTTCTTATACACAAATAGTAAGAAATCTATCTACTTTGATCTTTTAATCTAGAAAACGAAAAAAAAAACAAGAGTTTTTGTGGTGGAATATTTTGTTCCTTTTTTTATATAAAAAATGAGGCAGTTTGTAAAAACTTTCCCACTATTGGCCCTCGTAGTCATCATAAGCTTAGCCGGAACGGCGATGGTAGAGGCTGCGACTGGACTAAACCCTCAGGTGAAGCTGCTTTGGCATTATTACAAAGTTACTAACACTTGTGATGATGCAGAGGCTTATATTAGACATCAAGTCGAAAAGTTCTATAAGAGTGACAATAGCATTGCTCCCAAGCTACTTCGTCTCCTCTACTCCGATTGTATGGTTAATGTAAGTTTAGACGTCGTCGTTTTTTCCTTTTCAATAACTATAACGTTCATTTATTTAATAACCTATTGTGTTGTTCTATAGGGATGTGATGCTTCGGTTCTTTTGGAAGGACCAAACTCAGAGAGGACAGCTCCACAGAATCGAGGGCTTGGAGGTTTTGTGATAATCGATAAGATAAAACAAGTTCTTGAATCACGTTGTCCTGGTGTTGTTTCTTGCGCTGATATCCTCAACCTTGCCGCTAGAGATGCTGTTCACATGGTACGTACATATACTTGCATGTTCTTAAAGTGATCATGTTCTACGAGTGCATTGATTATTTTAGGTTTTGTAATATATTTTACTGACTGTTGTTTGTTTTGATGAAATTATGATTAGGCCGGAGCACCGTCGTACCCTGTGTTTACCGGGAGAAGGGACGGTGGGGCTTTAAATGCAGACGCCGTGGATCTACCGTCACCGTCTATCTCAATCGATGAGTCATTGGCATACTTCAAATCTAAAGGTCTTGACGTTTTGGATATGACTACTCTTCTAGGTAACTAATCATA